AGCTTAATAACATTCCTTATTTGGAATCAAATGGATCCAACTCACTACCAGGTGGTGATCAGCTAGCAGCTCGGCCATTTTCTTTATTCAACGGTCTTAGTCATTGATGGACACCCTTATGCTTAAACATGGTGTTTGTTATAGTCAAGCTAACAAGCAAAGAGTACCAATCAATTTAGATAAGGTAGGCTGTTCTTCCCAGGTATCACTGTCAGTACCTACACAGGCAGGAAATTTACAGTGAGTGACTTATCCCTAACCCAATTGTCCAGGAAGGTAACCCTCTTGTTCCCCGGGGACCAACTCCAGCACACAGCAGCTAAGTTTGAGTGCTATATGCAAGCCCACACCAGCCCACTCTCACCATGTGCATCTCCACAGTAGGAAGTTGTGTTCCATAGTCTAAACTGGGTGTGGAATTAAGCTTGACTCTCCTCAGTATCGTTCAACCTCCCACACAAGCTCGGGCTCATTACCTCCCAGTGAGGTGATATTCCATGTCCCAAGAGCTAGTTTCTGTGTTTGATCAGGTTGTCGTAGTCTCAACCTTTATACCACCACCTGTTACGCGTTGCACGGGCTCCTTATGGCAGTGAGCCTACAGGAGGACACTCCTATGTCACTACTTCAGGCTGGCTTCCATGGGATAAAACCCAGTTACCAGGCACTCGCATGCATGTCCCAACCCCAGGCTTGACTCTAAGGTGAGGCCCTGGCTGTGTTGTAATGGATGACATCATGGTCCTAGGACCTTTTAACTTTTGTATTTGGAGACCCTGCCAGGGGCATCTAGCACCTGAAAACATAGTTCTTAGAATCACTCTGACACTTAAACCCCTTCACTACAAGGTGGCAGTTATGGAGAGGAAATTGCAAATTATTAGGGGCCAAGCAGTGAAGCTCTCGAGACCTACTTGATTTCAGACAGACAACCCTCCATACTAAATGACCAGGTGAGAGCCCTGGGCTCAAGTATCTCAGAGCTCAGGTTTCTCTCCCAGGACAGCATGCCAAACCTGCAATTAGTATCAAGCAGTAGCTAAGTGTGAACTCTTGAAGTGAAGATTTTATAAAGTAATTTTGAGTGGATCATGTGTTATGGTTGATCGCGGCTGGTCTCACATTAACAATCATCTATAAATCAATCAGATGAATTCAGGCCTACAAAAAATAGCCTATTTTGTCTGACCTCCTTTATCTTCGTTTTTAAAGAATCCTCCAACTAGCGTTTCGGAAGTGTTAATGCAGACCGACAGAGACAGCGCGCAGAAGTATAAATGCACAGCCACGCGCGTTGCCTGCGCCGTGGGTTAAGCCGGTCACTTGACGCAGAAGTATAAACCAGGCTTTTCCCTCCTTTACCAGGGGTTAAGCTCCTACCTGATTTCGGACACCCTTCTATGCTAAATGACCAGCTCAAGTATCTCCAAGCTCAGGGTTCTCTTACGGGACAGCACGCCCAACGTGTTGTTAGTATCAAGTGTAAACTTGAAAGTTGTTGCCAGTGTTTCCAGTGTCTTTTCACTTCAGCTTTTGATGAGTTTCTATGACTTACTAAAAACTCAACTTTTTTTATTTATTTCAGACTTAACTGAAGAGGAAGAGGAGAGTAAAGAGGAGGAACATCATGTCAAATTTGAGAAAACTCATTCAGAGACTGATGGTATTTTGAAAAGGAAAGACAAGAATCGTTTCATCTGCACTCTGTGTGGAAAGAGTTTGGGAGGCAAAAGCAGTCTTAAGATCCACATGATGATCCACACCGGAGAGAAACCATTCACATGCACTCAGTGTGGGAAGAGATTTTGCCAATTATCACACCTTAATCAACACATGATGATCCACACTGGAGAGAAACCATTCATGTGCACTCAGTGTGAGAAAAGTTTCTGCCAGTCATCACACCTAAATAAACACATGATGATCCACACTGGAGAGAAACCGTTCACATGCACTCAGTGTGGGAAGCGTTTGGGAAGCAAAAACAGTCTTCAGATTCACACGATGATCCACACTGGAGAGAAACCATTCACATGCACTCAGTGTGGGAAGAGTTTCAGTCAATCGTCAAACCTTAATCAACACATGCAGATCCACACTGGAGAGAAACCATTCGCGTGCACTCAGTGTGGGAAGAGTTTCAGCCACTCGTCACATCTTCATAAACACATGATGATCCACACTGGAGAGATATCATTCACATGCACTCAATGCGGGAGGAGTTTCAGCAAATCATCATCCCTTAGTCTACACATGAGGATCCACACCGGTGTGAGAGTATATGTGCTTTGACTGTGAGAACATTTTTATGACATCTAGAGAATTGAAACGGCACCAGAGGATTCACACTGGAGAGAAACTGTACACGTGTTCACACTGTGATAAGAAATTCAGAGATTTACAAAGCCTGAAAACACATGAGAGGATTCACATTGTAGAGCCGCGGTGTGAACCGCCGCAGCCCTGCACTGTTTAGTTTCAACCCAGCTTCAATAAACTTACCTGTAGGTTTCAAACAAACCTGAAGGACTCAATTAGTTTGATCAGGTGTGTTTAATTAGGGTTGGAACTAAACTGTGCAGAGCTGCGGCCCTCTAGGAACTTAGTCTGACAACTGTGTTGTAGAGAAACCATAGATATGATCAGTGTCTACTAGGGACGCTCATATTGACCGTGTAATCGTTAACCAAAAGGATGCATTATAACCGATTAATGATATCAGTTAAAACTGTAAAAAATTATTATTTTACTTTTGCATCAACAGGTGCAACCACACTTGCCTGCAGACACATTTTGCCAAAAAAGCTAAATGTAACGAGTGAAAAGCATATAGCTTGCCACAGTTTGACAGAGACAAGTTGATGGTGAAACCAGCGCAGATACTGATCACCTCTGTCCTGGATCTGCATCATAAACATGGTATACTGTTTTCCAACACTCCGACACTGCAGTGTGTGGGGTTGTGAATGTGCTGTGTTGCATGTACTAATAAACACAATGATGACATCTGAGAGAAGAACAGTTTCATAAACATCTGATCAACGGCACCTCTGCGGCACGTCACATCATTACATTGTTTTCTATTTGCTGCGGACAGACACTGAATGGAGCAGAAGTGAGCAAACTCAGAAAATAACCCTAACCCTAAACGTCAACTCACCCAGCCGAGACTCGAACCAGCGACCTTCTTGCTGTGAGGCGACAGCACTACCTACTGTGCCACTGCATCACATGGTCATAATTCATTTTATTTAAATTAATTTTTGTTTAAAGACAAATAATTACACCCGTCCAGTTTCATCGGGAATGCGTCCCTGACTAGTCTTAAATGATCAGATTTGAATCCAATCAACATAAAATGAATGACGTGACCAGCGTTAACAGCCTCAAAACCACAGACGTGACGGGATTTGCGCAATTTGCTGTAAAGTGACATCTGACGGCTGAGGACTCCGCTTGGTGTTAAAGCCATCTTCAGACAGTTGACTTTATTTTATTTTTTTTATTCAGTGGCAGGAACGGGCTTCCATAACCCACTGCGCCACCATGTGAATATATTATTCTTAAAACTGGTAAAGAAATCTGAGATCTATTAATAATTGAGCGAATGTCTCTGTTTGACATGTACTGAGAACATTTGTGCAGTCAAATATAAAATAATGTAAAAAACTTTATGGCCAGACTTGACTGACGGTATTATACAATCAGGGATTGCACAGAAACAATGTTATATTCCTCTGAAGAGACTGAAGAAGAATTAATCTTCTGAACGCAAATGTTTCCCTGGCTGTTTCTCAATATGCGTTCTTGTCTGTACTTGCGTTCTTGTGTCCTCATGAAACGTCATCAACCTTCGCCAAAGTACTGTTTCAATTCAAAGTTCACATCTAGCCAAGTACAGATGAAATTCCCGGATGTGTACTTGCTCTGCCCCTTTGGCCAAGGATGCATCAAGAAGTGACGTGTGCGAACTTGCGAAGCTCAGTATGCCAGATTACATTGGAGCTAAACCAGCAAACGCTAATGGTGGAGGAGAAAATTCACAGTTTTAAAAATACTCCTTTACTGTGTCACTAAGTAAAGTTTTAACAGTTTTTCGGGCGAGAATGTAGTTTTTTTAAACTCAAATCGACAGTTTATTCACAAAGATAGCGCGTCTTTGATGATGTGCCTCAGCTTATGAGCTCCGTCATCAGCTCCCCCGCCGAGCTTTACTTCGGCCAGTCCATCTCGGATGTACCACTAGATCTCATCACTCTATTGTAGTCATAACGTGATATTTAATAAATCTTGTGAACATCTAACGGGCAGTTTTTGGTCTTATAAATCTATTATTTGTCCTCAGGTGTATTATTTTGGCAGTGTTATTTTGTTACCTGTTATAATTGTCTTTATTTTGTTACCGTGTTGTACGCTGTTTGTCTTTGTTTACCAAATTGTTTGACGTAATCTTTATTTCTTATCGTGTATTTCTTATTGAATATACTTGTATAATTATTATTGTAGTTGATTAAATCTGATAATCAAAGACACGTGTCTGTGTATAATAACTCATTTTACTTCACATTTATATGAATTTATGTGTGCATTTTCTTAAATCAAAAATGTAGATTTATAATATTAATATTATATTAATTATGGGGTCGTGCTTGATATAATTAAATCATTTTATTGTTAATGTAACATTACGTACAGTAAAACTGATGAATCCATGCATGGTGAGGTAAGTGACGTTAAGTACTGCCGTGCTGTTTCATTTGAAGAAGTACCCGTCTTGTGTCCTTGCGTCCTCGGGAGTTTATTCTTCCAAGTCTGAATTAGGCAAGTCTGAACTTCCAAGGACGCAAGTCCAATACTTTGCGTACTTGATATTGAGAAACAGCCCCTGTGTTGCCGAGAGACTGATTGATATAAAGGCAGCCAATCAGCTTTCTCTGATCAGCGTGCAGGCAAAAACCCCGCCCACGGCGCTCAGTGTGAGGCGGAGAGTGCAGAGCTTTGCTGTTTGCTGTTGAATTGCTTTAACTCCACTTCTGTTTCGGGTGTTGTGCGTCTATTCAAAGTAAGTGTATTATATCTGACCTTTGTAGCGTTCGCAGATTTGCTGCAATTATCTTGCGGGTTGAACTGCTTTAACATATGTGCTCAATGCTAATATAGTCTCTTGTTTTTAGCTCGATGCTAGGCTGTAAACACTTCTGTAATGCGTTACTCACGGGTTATCTGGCCACCTTTCATTTGTGTCTCCATCTCATTCCTTCACTAAGTGCTTGTTTCAGAGGTGTGTTGTAAACAACTTCCCAACAAACACATCTGTTACAGCGTAGAAATGTAAGACTGGAGAGGCCTGTAGCAGCTGAGGAGATCTGGGTTTACTACATTTGATGCTGGGTTATTTACATATTGACTATTCTGCATATGAGAAGTAGACCTAAGAGTGTTTAAATACTGTTTAATATTGATTATTGATCTTTTTAACTGAATATATGCTTGTGTAAACTTTAAAGAGAAATAAATCCATAACAATTAATATAATCAATCTTTATTCCATAGTCTACAAAACATTCATACAAACAATAGATTTATTATAAAGTTGCCAAAACGGCAACATTATAGAGAACATTAAATGGGTTATTTTGTTTTAACAGCATTTTTAAATAGTTTTTGTTTATAAATGTTTAACTTTATTGCAAATGCTTTTATTTAGCAGTAAAACAGAATGTGGGATTAGTATAATAGTATAAAACACTTAATAATGAATGTATTACAGTATTGAGAGATAACTGTAGGCAATCAGAGACATGATCACGCTGCACACATGAGATGTAGAATCGGCCACTCAACACTTACACACATATTTACTGAACAGGGAAGAGAAACCTATGTGTAACTTGTGTGAGAATATTTTGATGGTGAAACATATTTTAATAGAGTGTATATTTGTAAATGATATTAGAGGATGTTTTTATTCAGGAAATATTTGAAGGCAAATGTTTAAAAATGTGTTTTCTGGAGGAATTTTACAATATTGATCATTGATCAGACTGAAAGAGCTTATAAGACTTTATCAGTGTTGCTGTTATTTGTGTGTTTTTAACCAATTAATGATGTTTCAGAAACAGTTATGATCATCAATTATATATTGAATATTTAATACAAGTGTTGTCATGAATATAGCCAGTGCTGCTGTTATGCCATTAAAATATAAATATAAGTGAACAGAATGTTAATTAGAATAATTATCTCCTCCTCCAGTGAAGCTCCTCCTCCTCCAGTTCAGCTGTAAACACTGTGATATTCCCATCAGGCTCCAGTGAAGAGTTTATTGAAGGACAGCGAGAACATGAGTGATCCAGAACCCTGCAGAATTAAACATGAAGACACTGAACAACAAATAGGTTGGTGTTTATTCCTGATTCTTCATTAATCAGCCTGAAGAACAATCATGAGAAAAGCTTTGAACAGTTGATCTGATTTACTGTACAGAAACAAATGATTTTCTATAAAGACAGAGAGAAATAAACACACTTTCTGTTCACAAGGTCAACTATAGGGACTGAAGCTCAGTTGTCTTTTATTCCCATGTTCTGATCAAATGCTCAGTGAAAGGAGGTTTGTTAAATATTTAACCCTCTGGGCTCTGAGGAGAAGTGTCGGCACTCCCTGACACCTCTGCTGTTTTCTGTTTCTTATAAATACATTTATAAAAATATAATATATTGGGGCTAAAGTCTGATTACACTGTATTAATCATAAACTGTGCTACAATAATATCCAAGCAGCATGTATGTGTTGTGTGTGTGAAAAATATGGGCATTCAAACATCACAGAAATCAGGCTTAAAAGCAGATAGCAAATATGTGTATATAGAGCTTTTTTAAAACTAATTCATCATAATGGTTTTAAAATTACCCTGTTTATTCATTCCCTTTAAACAATATGCTGATTTACATTAAGTGTGATGTAATGTGATCTGAGTCCATAATACACACACTCATGACTTATTAATGTTTACATACTGTCTCCCTCCTCCTCTCCCTGTATCTTCTCTATTGTCCTCGTGATGAAAAATAGGCAAACAGCATAGGTCAACATGATCATAAAGCTGAAAGTATCCAAAATCACACACACTATACCTCTTTTTTCCCGTTTCTCTCCTCATCAGGGTTTTTTCTTTCTGTCTCTCTCCTATTAAGATAACATGCTGAGCCTCCTCCGCCTGGTTAATGCTAGTTTGCACATCTAACATTACCATAACGTCTTCTTGAAGAAGATGTGCATGGAACATATCGCAATAAAGATGCCTCCCTCTCGCCTTTTTCTTGTGCACTTTTTTTTTTGCACTGTAACTGATGATCAACAGTAAAAATCACAAATTTGACCTCTTCCCAATAGGGAAAACCCCAACAATCATAAATGCATGATTATATGCTGTCATGCCTCTGCAATTACAAGAGATGCTGTTATAATGGAAGTCAATAGAGCAAAAACAGCCATGAATATAACATAAAGGGAGTTAAGTTGGGAGTGCATTGAGTTTGTTTTTATTTTAAAGCATTTTCCCAAAATATGTCAAAATAAGATGTTTCCAAAAATCAGTCTGTTTGCTGAAACACAGAGAAATTTGTGGCCAAATGAAAGGCTGGTTTATACTTCTGCGTTGAGTGATCAGCGTGATCCACGGCGCATGTAATGCGTGTAGCCGCGCATTTATATTTCTGTGCGCTATTTGTATTGCTCTACAATCAAACTTCTGAAACGCTAGCTGGCAGTGAGGTGTTTATGTTCTTCTATGTTGAGTTTTTTTTTGTTTCTAGTGTTTTGTTTTTTCTAAACCCTTAATGTACAAGTGGCTCAAACTCGGCAGACGTGCAACAACTTTAATCATATAGTGAACACAAAACAACCGTTTCAATCTAGAGCTCCTTCACGGAACTTCACACTTGTAAACACACGCTTCATCGGGCTGTATCCACTTGTTAGGTCATCACGTTTGGTGATGTAAGGAATACTGTTTCTGGGTCCTACTCCAGGGGTGGCCAACCCTGTTCCTGGAGAGCCACCTTCCTGCAGATTTCAGTTGCTACCCATATCAAACACACCGGAACCAATTAATTAGGACCTGAACACCACGTGATGATTACAGGCAGGTGTGTTTGATATGGGTTGCAATTGAAATCTGCAGGAAGGTGGATCTCCAGGAACAGGGTTGGCCACCCCTGCGCTTCTCGTTTGAATTAAGAAAATATTTGTTTATGACCCGTTTTTAGTCTTAACGCATTACAGTGAATTTTATATAAAACCTTAGTGTACACAGGTCTATTTACCTGCTGCATCACAGACACCAATAATTTAACACTGAATATCTTTGGCATATCTGCCATCAGATATTAGGCATGTGTGTGTGTGTGTGTGTGTATATATGCAACAGTACAGTTAGCCTACTGTTCAATACATACCTTGATTTATTTATTATTATTTTTTTAACAGTTTTCGGTTCGGTTCTCGTGGCTTGACACGTGTTTTATTTATTTAGTTATTTTGTCGTTCTATATTTGGCCAATAAGAACAGCAAGAGGTTAAGGAGAAAAAATAAAAACATTTTTTGCAATACATCTTTGATTTAAAAGCCAAAAACAGTAGAGTAGTTCCTAGTGTATTGTATAAAAAAAATTAACTCTGAAATCTCACAGCTGCTGGTCGCCCATGTACAAACTGGGGAACACATTTATTCCTACACTTTGAAAAAAAACATACATGTGAAGTTAATAAAGATAAATTGACCATTTCAAATAAACATATTTGTGCTTTAGTAAACATAAATAAACCTGAATTATCTTGGTGCTGAAAAAAAGTGCGAGACTGTAGTCTGTAACTCGGATCGAGTGCTTTTATAAGATGACAAAAGCCCGCATCTCCAATCACCGAAAACAGCTGTGAATTTTTAGCAGTAATGAACACCCCACTCATTGGTTATTTTTATCTGTGTCTCGGAACCAGTTGGGTATGTTTACTGGAAGAATTCAGCGAGTAATTGTTGATTTTTGTAGGACTTTATTAGCTTCTCTGCTCTCCTGCCTTCAGACAGTGATATTACTGGGTGATGGCGCTGCAGATGTGTGGTCATTGTTATACACATGTAAAACGATGCTGGCACAGTTATTTTTTTGTTCACCGTTTTTCTTTCTTTGGCATTATACTCAACGGCTAAACCGAAATGTCCGCACACCGCAGATTTGAAAGACGTTGGCGCATCCTTGTACTTTTGCCTCACTTCGCCGCCGCTCGCCATGTTAAAGTGTGGAATGGTTAAGCGGCCCCTTACTTTAGAGCAAAGTGATTGGATATTGACGTCACACTTAACAAGTGGATAGTGTGGACGGAGAGCTGTTTAGCGCGGCTTTCAACTCCACCCCATTTTTCAGCGCTACCAAGCTGACCAATCACAGAGCTTTGTTGCGACGTGTAGTTAAATTTTTCGAGAGGTGTGCGTCATTGTCACCGATGGCTATGGCAAGGGCTATGCATCCCTGAGTAGGCTGCGCTGGAGCATACGCGTGCACAACGCCGAAGTATAAATCAGCCTTAACCCTCAAAATCACCCCAGAATGGATGAAAACGACCCAACAGCACAGAAGGGGAAAATGTGAACATCCCAGATGTTGTACAGGTATGTATCATGTCTGTGAGGCAAATATTCACAGACATTCAGCTGTTCGTTTAGCTGTTACCCTAGAACTTTCTGATGTGTTTGCCAGTCAGGCATAGAATGAGAAAGTATTCCCTGTCTGCTTTACAAATTTTAGAAAAACATTTTGTTGTAATTATGAATATAAATGAATAAAAAAAGGTCATTTACAGTTTTTAAACCTATGTCTCCTCAATAGGACCAGAATAACTTTTAGTAAAGTCATGTAAGAATCTGCTTAAATGTGTATATGTGTAACGGACTAAACTAAATATGATCTGATTTATTTTACATTATTGTGCATCAATATTACAGTTTGAGTAATCAATGTTGCAGTACCTTGTAGAGTTTTTAGGACTTAATAAAAACTGTTTTTTTTCCAGACCTAATTGAAGAGAATGAGGCGACTAAAGAGGAGGAACACCATGTCAAAATTGAGGACAAAACTCAATTACAAGCTGATGGTATTTTGAAAAGGAGAGACAAGAATTGTTTCACCTGCACTCAGTGTGGGAAGAGTTTCAGACAATCATCATCCCTTAATAGACACGCGAAGATCCACACTGGAGAGAATCTATTCACTTGCACCCAGTGTGAGAAGAGTTTCAGCCAATCATCAGCCCTTACTCTACACATGAGGAGCCACACTGGAGAGAAACCATACACATGTGCTCAATGTGGGAAGAGTTTCAGCCAATTATCAGCCCTTAATAAACACAATAAAATCCACACTGGAGAGAAACCATTCACTTGCACCCAGTGTGGAAAGAGCTTTAGCCAATCATCGTCACTTAATGTACACATGAGGATCCACTCTGGAGAGAAACCATTCACATGCACTCTGTGTGGGACGAGTTTCAACCAAATATCAGCCCTTAATAAACACAAAAAAATCCACACTGGAGAGAAACCACACGCATGCACTCAGTGCGGGAAGAGATTCAGCCAATCATCAAACCTTAATCAGCACATGAGGATCCACACTGGAGAGAAACCGTTCACATGCACTCAGTGTGGGAAGAGTTTCAGCCACTCGTCATCCCTTAAACTACACATGATGATCCACACTGGAGAGAAATCATTTACATGCACCCAGTGCGGGATGAGTTTCAGCCAATCACCATCCCTTTATAGACACCTAAAGACCCACACTGGAGAGAAACCATTCATATGCACTCAGTGTGGAAAGAGTTTCAGCCAGTCAGCACACCTTAATCTACACATGAAGATCCACACTGGAGAGAAGCCATTCACATGCACTCAGTGTGGGAAGAGTTTCAACCAATCATCAGACCTTAATAAACACATGATTATTCACACTGGAGAGAAACCATTAATATGTACACAGTGTGGGAAGAGTTTCAGCTGCTCATCAAACCTTAATAAACACATGAGGATCCACACTGGAGAGAAACCGTACACATGCTCTCAGTGTGGGAAGAGTTTCAGCCAATCATCAACCCTTAATCAACACATGAAGAGCCACACTGGTGTGGGAGTCTATGCGTCTTGAGTGTGAGAAGAGATTTATTACAGCTGGAGGATTGAAACGACACCAGAGGATTCACACTGGAGAGAAACCTTGCAAGTTTTCACAATGTGACAAGGTTTATTCGGTTAGTACATATGAAAACAAATTAAATTATTTACACTGGGGAGAAACCATACAAGTGTTCACACTGACATTTTGTCTAACAGAAACCCTGAAACGCATGAGAGGATTCTCACTGTAAGGAAACCGCAGACATGATCAAAATCTACACAGTTTCACTCGTTCAGTGCAGCTTAAGAAACACATGGACAAAAAGCTGCACACTTGACATGAATGCTGCAAAACATTTTCTTTAGTGCAACGAATGTTTCATGTTTAAGAATGTTTGAAAAACTAATCGACAGTTGTGTTGCACTGCTCGCGTTTACTGCTAAACATAATGATGATGAGAAAGAGAAAACAAAACATAAACATCTGGCAAACAGCACCTTTACGGTACTCCTCCTCCGAGTCTTTAAAATCTCTGCGAGTAATCGCACAGGTGCAGATATATCTGTACAGCTCTGCTGCTCCACTCTCCAGTGTGTTCATGTGGCTAGTGTTGTTTTGAATGATGTTCTCTGTCTGACCCCCTGAATGAGAAACAAATCACTGGGAAGACACCACACCTCAAAGAAGGCAGAGCTCCAGGAGACGCCCACTGATTGTCTAATTGCCACGGGCCAATGGTAGCTCAATGGTGTTTAGGAGCCAAAAACCAATTCCCCCAAAATTTTGGAAAGCTGTTTCTAACTGCTTAAATGAACTCAAAAAGAACAGAATTTCAGTCACTTTAGTTTGTTCTTCAATTTAGTTTGCTGTATACCAAAACCCCAAGTTTGGAAAGCCTTGTCTTGTGAATTTGTTTCTTTTTTTAAATAAAGCTTCTTTACTCTCAAGGTCAAGTGTCTTTTTAGATTACTACAATTCCTTTTTTAATCTAATACAAACTTGATGATTTTTTTTCTTATTTCAGCAGAATGGGAGGTTTTAAGTTTTACAATATTAAAACACTATTTGTAAAATGTTTATATTAGCTCAGGGGTGTCCAGACTCGGTCCTGGAGGGCCAGTGTCCTGCAGATTTTACCTCGAACTTGTTTGGACACACCTGCAAGGATGTTTCTAGAAAGCCTAGTAAGAGCTTGATCAGCTTGTTCAGGTGTGTCTGATTGGGGTTGAATCTAAACTTTGCAGGACACCAGCCCTCCAGGACCGAGTCTGGACATCCCTGCATTCGCTCGTTGGTAAAAAGAGTTTATAATTACCATCTTAACATCTCATGTTTAGATAAGTGTCAGCTTATTGGTTAATTTATTCTGCCTTTTCTGATGTTGTTGTTGTTCAATGGATATTTCAAACGGAATTATATACGATTTGCACTCATCATTTATATAAAGGGGACTCTCACTGTCTTGTTTAATTAGAACACCTCCCTAGGTAGGAGTCCATGAACATCTGAGACAGGCTGCAGCTTTACTCTGTGCTCCTCCCAGGTGACAGAGTTCCTCACACTATCTCTGAGATGTGCCTTGCCATGCTGTGAAGGAAACATTTTGGCCATTTGTATTGCAGATCTTGTCTGTTCGCTCATGACAATAGGTAACAGTAGGATCTTGGACAGACCGGTAAATTAAAAACATCCCCTTTCGGCTCATCTTCTTCACCACAACAGACCAATACATCAACCACCAATCTGCCTTTCAATCTTATAGTCCATCTTTTTCTGACTCATGAACAAAACCCCAAAGTACTAGAACTCCATCTGGCTTAAGGACTTTTCCCCAAACTGGAGATGGCAAGCCACCTTTTTCCAGCCAGCCACCATGGCCTTGGGCTTATCCCTGCCACCTCACACGTAGCAACAACCCATCCCAGTACACGCTCAATGTCCTCCGCGTCCCATGAATCCAAGAGGACAGCATCATCTGCAAATAGTAGAGTTTAAATCCTGTGGAATCCTTTCAGAAATCAAATCCAGTTTAAACACACTCTGGTCCTCCTCCTTAAAATTGACAACCACCACCACAGTTGCCCACTGTAGAGGTTTAGTCCCCTTACTCGATATAGAAGCATGTTAGCTAAGACGGCCCAACAACATCCAGAGACTTGAGCTATACAGGATGGACCTGATCCATCCCTGCTGTTTTGCCCCTGGAGAGCTTTCAAACTACCTCAGTAGCTTGAGGTGTGGAACTGCTACTAAATACTTAGGCACCAGATGGTTTTGCCAGATTCTCGTTGAGGATGACAATTAGACCTCTTCCATGGTCTTCCCAAACTCCTCCCAGGTCTGAGTTTTATGCAACCGCCCGTAAAGCATCCTTGGGCTGTCGGTACCCATCAGCTGCCTCGGGAGTCCTACAAGCTAGCCAAGCCTGGTAAGACTCCTCCTTCAGCTTAATGGTATCCCTTACAGTGTCCACCACTGGGTTTGTGGAGTGCTGCAGGGAACTGGTGAAAGTGAGAGTTAAAAATGCTTCTGATATGTAGTTCACACATAGAAGATCCTGATGATGCATTTGAGCCTGCCAGGTCTGTCCGGTCCTTTCCTCTGCCAGTAGATCCAGCTCACTGCCAGGTGGTGATCAGTTGACAGCTTTGTCTTTTTCTTTACACACGTCTCCAAGACGTGCAGTCAGAGATCAAATGAAATGATCACAAACTCTATAATCGACTTCTAGCCTTGTGTGTACCATGCGCACTGAAGCACATCCTTATGCTCGAACACAGGGCTCGAAATTGCAGCCATTTTGGTCTTTGGTCTGAATTTTTTTTCTATGTGACTTCAAAATACATTTTGGGGCATTTGTGCGAGTGTTTAGAAATGTTGGCATGCGACCTGTTTTCACTGCTAAATGTTCACTGCTACAAGAGAATGAAAACAACCCTGACATATTTTATTTTGGAAACCACCTAAAGGTAAAGATTGTGAAAGTTTAATAAATTAAATAATATAAAAATAAGGTGTTCAGGTAACCGTATTTGCCACTGAATCTAAACATTTTAAGTGTGAGAGGTTTTAATCCTTTATTTAATCATCACAAAGTTGTCAGCTGTGCAAGTACCAGCTAAATATTAAGTTTAACATTGTGTACACCATCGCAAAAGGGCCTGCATTCACTAAGATTAAACTAATATTGCAGATTTACTGGTGCACATTTCAGCTCTGTCATTTCTGTTAAAAAATATTCAGTGCTTTATTCTGACGCATTTGCTATATTCTTTATTAAAAATAGGCCCTTTACAAATGTGAACTCAGATTAAATCGAACTAAACATGATGGGCACCAACATTACAGTTTGTGTAGTCGGTGTTTCCAGTGTCTTTTCACTTTACAGCTTTTGATGAGTTTCTATGACTTACTAAAAACTCAACTTTTTATTTCAGACCTAATAGAAGAGTACGAGGAGATTAAAGAGGAGGAACACCATGTCAAGATTGAGGAAAATCATTTAGAGACTGATGATATTTTGAAAAGAGACAAGAATTGTTTTACCTGCACCCAGTGTGGAAGGAGTTTAAGAAGAAATAGCAGCCTTAAGAATCACATGAGGATCCACACTGGAGAGAGACCATTCACATGCACTCATTGTGGCAAGAGTTTCAGCCAATCAACATCCCTTTATAGACACATGAAAATCCACACTGGAGAGAAACCATTCACCTGCACTCAGTGTGGGAAGAGTTTCATACAATCATCAGACCTTACTCAACACATAAAGATCCACACCGGAGAGAAACCATACACATGCACTCAGTGTGGAAAGAGTTTCTGCCAATCATCATCATATAATCAACACGTGATGATCCACACTGGAGAGAAACAGTTCACATGCACTCAGTGTGGGAAGAGTTTCATACAATTGTCAAACCTTAATCAACACATGAAGACCCACACTGGAGAGAAACCATTCACCTGCACTCAATGTGGGAGGAGTTTCAGCCAATCATCACACCTTAATAAACACATGAAGATCCACACTGGAGAGAAACCATTCACATGCACTCAGTGTGGGAAGAGTTTCATACAATTATCGAACCTTAATAAACACATGAGGATCCACACTGGAGAGAAACCATAGACATAATCAGTGTCAGGGTCAATTAGAGATGCACATATTGACCATTTAACCGTTAACCGAAAGTATGCATTTTTACCGATGAATGGTATTAGTTTAAAACCGTTAAAGGTTATTAGTATCTTTAATGTTTTGCTGCATAAATATGCATTATTATGAATGTTACAGTATGAATATTCACCTATGATCAATTCAGTTGATTGGACATAATCTGAAAAGGTATACATCTGTTTATATAAGCTCCCAGGGTTGACAGTGCATGTCAAAGCACAAACCAGGCATGAAGACAAATGAATTGTCTGTAGACCTCCAAGACGATTGTCTGCAGGCACAGGGCTGGGGAAGGTTACAGAAACATTTCTGTTGCTCTGAAAGTTCCAATAAGCACAGCAGCCTCCATCATCCGTAAGTGGAAGATGTTTAACCACCAGGACTTTTTCTAGCACTGGCCGGCCATCTAAGCTGAGTGATTGGGGAAAAGGACTTTAGTCAGGGAGGTGATCAATAACCTGATGGTCACTCTGTCTGAGCTCCAGCATTCTTCTGTGGAGAGCTTGTATTAAACCAGAAGGGGGTCCATCTTTTTCTTGAAGATTTCACTATTATTTAAAACTTTATCAATAATGTAGCTAATTTTGTCCCAGAAACGGACCGAATAATAGATTATTGAATAATAGATTGTAAACAACATTGATGAAAAGATATGGAGGGACATTTTCAGGAGCGCGACATTGGAGTATGTGGTAGATCCTGATTGGATGCCTGCATTACTCATCAATGATATCAATAAGAGTTGCTGTGCTACCCCAGGATGCTGTGGCTACTCAGGAATCCTCATGTAAAGACCTGCCATCTCATTAACTTTTTAATCTTATGGTTATGTTTTGCATTACTTGTATTATGTAAAGTATCCTAAGTTCTTTATCTTCATTATCCCTAGACATTTGTTTGTTGCATTGATTGATTGTTCCGAGATACATTTTGTAATAAATTTTTTCCATTAAGACTATTTTGTTGGTTGATGTCTCTCTTATGTTGTGACTGAGCAGGTCATAAGACTTTGTAAAATGTTTTTGCTTGTATCTGAAGTCTTGTCCTTTCGATTATGCCCATAGACGAGATTAGAATTTTAGAATGATCTGTAAATTAAGAACATTGCCTTTCAGCTATGCTCTTTCACCAC